AACCTGGAATTACAGAGAAATTCCCTGACAGTAAGAACAATCAACCAATCTTCAGAAGTTATGGGTGCTTGATCACCGGAGGCTTTCAAAAAGAGACTGGATAATATTACAGTAGGGGGGTTGGACTAGAAGACCTCCAAGGTCCCTTTCACCTCTACTTTTTAAGCTTGAAGCTTGCTTTGCTGGTGCAACAATTGTTGCTTCTCAGCTTGCCAACAAACGTGGGGGGAGGATGGGGAAATGGAATGCAGGTTACATAGATAAAGAAGGCAGACCGTGAGAATCAAGGACGATTCACCAGGTATCGGACCAGCTCAGAGACATGTTCTCATAACAATATATTTACACCTCATTGGGCAATGTGACCTATAGGGTTTGGCTTGGGGTTTGCTAGAGTTGGTTTTGCTAGGGGTGACATGGCAGTAGTTTTCCAATATTTGAGGGGCTGCCCCAAAGAAAAGGGGGTCCACCTATTCTCCAAAGCACCCGAAAGCAGGAGAAGAAGCAACAGATGGAAATTAATCAAAGAGAGAAGCAACTTAGAACTAAGAGAAAATTTCTAACAAAAAAAAAATCTAACAGATTTTTTTTTAAAAAAAGTAGATATTGGAAGAGCGAAGAGATTATATTTGCCCAAGTCTGAATAGCTGAAAGCAAGAGTCTAAAACAGAGTTTTCAGCAACTTTAAGACATATGGATTTTAGTTACCTGAATTAGCTGGGGAATTTTTGGAGTTGAAGTCCATATATCTTCTTGTCTAAAAAAAGTTAACCTCTCCATTGTAACGGACAAAAAAACAACAACGGCCCAAAACTGAACAAATGAACTATGTATAAAAGAGCAAGAAGGACAGTGAAATTAAAATGCAAAAGCAGAGGTGAATCAGCAGAGATTTCAACATGTCTTGAGCGTTTCAGTCAACAGTAACAATGAAGGCTTTAAAAGAGTTGATTAATTGGGAGACAATTAAGCTTGAGATTTTAATCAACTGGTTGATTGGACAATCAATCCATCAAAACACAATTTAACTAACAAGATTTTGCCATGAGTTGGGGGCCACCTAATTTGTGTTTGTGGCACACAGGCTTCAAAATATTAATTGGATGGATATACATGCATATATCTGTGGAAGGAGACTTTACCTTTTAAAGTTCAAAAAGGATTGCAATCTAACATTCAAGCTATGTTGAATCCTTTAGGGCAGACTTTCTCAACCTCAGCAACTTTACGTTGTCTGGACTTCAACTCCCAGAATCCCCCAGCCTAGCTTGCTAGCTGGGTGGGGAATTCTGGGAGTTAAACTCCCCGCAGCTTAAAGCTGCCAAGGTGGTTGAGAAAGTTAGGATTTACGTTCCCGTAAGTTTACACATATTATTATTATTATTATTTGCAGAATAAGATTTCAAGTCCTCATTAGGCTTATCTGTGACAAGCTGCAGGTTTCTTTCGTGAGCTTATGTGCATGGTGTTGTGTTGGAAAACATAACACTGCGAAACCCTAGTGAACGCCCGCTTTCTTGCCCAACCCTGGCACCATCATCCTGTCTCTAGAAAGTTTTCCCCAGTGCCAAGTTTAATTAACGAAGCTGCACACAAGAAGATCCCTATCGCATCCCCGGGAGAACAAAAGACACTTTTGAAAGCTTGAAAATAAGCAGAATTTTTCGGGGAGCGTCTGATGCTAGACTTAATAAGGAATCCTCCCCACTGCACCTCTTGGAACCGAGCAGATGAAATCTGTTAACAGCTTTAATGAATTTTGGGATTGTTGGAATACAAGAAGATTAATTTTGGGAGGAACCCACTGGGCTTCGGCATTTACGATCTACCCATAAGGCAGGGAACACAAGCTGAATTGTGCAGGTGTTTTGTCTGTGTTCCCCACTGCACCCCCCCCCCCAGGCAAGGTGGGGCAGCTGTTGGAAAGGGAGATGGAAAGAAGGTGATTTAAGGGTGGTGTTTCAAGCAAAACAACACTCACAGAGTTCGTGTGGATACATGCTTCCCTCTTTCCTTGTCTCATTATTCTTTTTTTGCTTTCTTTCCCCGAAGGGTGGCGTCAACAGAATGAGTTCAATCTGGATCAGGACGAGGGTGGGACCCAGGTTGGCTTTGTCACTTAGCAAACTCTGATCTTGATTTTCCTTCGTTCTGGTGCCTACAGAACAAGAGCAGCAAGGCTTGATGGGTGGAGAACGTGCTGGAGAATCTGGATTGGGTGTCCAACCGTGGCAACTTTAAGACCTGTGGACTTCAAGTTCCAAATTTCCCAAGCCAGTAATGGGAATTCTGGGAGCGAAAGCCCACAAAGTTGCCAAGCTAAAGCTTTGGAGGTATCTGCTGTGAGCTTGACTCTGGGCCTCCCTTTTCTAGGACTGTTGTACATATATTGTAAACATACGAAGAACGGGTGCGGGACTTGGGTTTGGCTAGTCTAAAGAAAAAGAAGAAATAGGGGAGACATAATAGCAGCACTCCAATTGATCAGGGGGGCTGCCACAAGGCACAGGGGGCCAGGTTGTTCACCAAAGCACCAGAGGGAAGGACAAGAAACAATGGTTGGAAACTGATCAAGGAGAGAAACAACCTGGAATTAAGGAGAAACTTCCTGATAGTTAGGACAATCAACCAGTGGAACCTCCAGAAATCGTGGGCGGTCCATCGCTGGCGATTTATAAGAAGAGACTAGATAATCACCTGTCTGAGATGATGTAGGTTCTCCTGCTTGAGCAGGGGGCTGGACTAGAAGACCTCCAAGGTCCCTTCCAGCTCTATTCTGTTCTGTTCTATTCTATTCTACTATGCTGAGGGTTAGTCCCTTGAGGTGGAAAGTTAGAAGGTTAAACTAGATGTCTTCTTCAGGTGAAGGATTGATGGATAGCTTTGGGCACCTGCAACTAGAACTCCATAGCTAGCTCACTTTAAGAAACCAAGGAAGGTTGAGCTGATGAGAACTTCTGTGGTAGACTTCCAGAAGAATCCAGGGTTGTGGACTACTTAATGAAGTTAAGAAGCAAAACAGTTGGGAATAACTCACAGGGGTTCTCAACTTTGGCAACTTTAAGACTTGTGGACTTCAACTCCCAGAATTCCTCAGCCAGTAAAACTGGGAGTTGAAGTCCACAAGTCTTAAAGTTGCCAAGGTTGAGAACCCCTGGAGGGGTGTTTGCAGGACATGGTGAAACCAGAATGCTGGCTGGTGAATTCTGGGAGTTGAAGTCTGCTCATCTTAAAGTTGCTGAAGCTGAGTGTCACTAGATCGTTGTGTCCAGTGCAGTGACTTTGTCGGTCTTCAAACAGGGCCGTTCTATATGAAAAGTCACACATCCGTTGTCTGCACTAATAATGTCCCACAGCACAGCACTATCTTGGAGATATTGAAGCAGTGTGGCATGCTACAAAACTGAGGTCTCTGGAGTAGGTGGGTTGAGAGGGTCACACAAATAAAGATGACTGTCTTGGGTGGTGGATAATGGGTACTGTGAAAGTTTGTATCTTGAGGCACAAAGAAAATGGAATCAAAAAGCCACGATCCAATGAGGAGTGCCGAAATGACATTCTTTCCTAGCCTTTTCCAGGGAGCTGCAAAATGTGTAAATGGATTTAGTATAACTTTTAACTGTCTGAAATGGTATAGGGCAGGGGTAGGCCACCTTGGCTCTTTTATGACTCGTGGACTTCAACTCCCAGAATTCCTGAGTCAACATGGCTAAACATGGAAACCTCTCCCTTTCTCCTCAGCATGGCTGGCTCAGGAATTCTGGGAGTTGAAGTCCACGAGTCATAAAAGAGCCAAGATTGCCTACTCCTCGTATAGGGTCTCTAGCTTGAGCAGGGGGTTGGACTAGAAGACCTCCAAGGTCCCTTCCAGCTCTGTTTTTCTGTTATTCTGAAATCTGTTATTTTGTATAAGGTCTCCTGCTTGAGCAGGGGGTTGGACTAGAAGACCTCCAAAGTCCCTTCCAACTCTATTGTTCAGTTTCTGTTCTATTTCAGCCTCAGCCCTCTTCCAGATCTCACGTTTGGACCCACAACTGATTTATTGCTCAGTTTGGCATGCCATTCTTCATTCACCTTTCTTAGATTACAGCCATTGTGTTTGACAGCCCAGAACATGACAGGACCTTTGAATAACTCAACTCTTTTGGCAGTTTTTGGTCAAGCCCAAAGGCCTTGTTGTAATCAAGTTGTATCCAAGCCAAAACTTATGAAAGGGTGTCCATGGGAAATCTTATCCCGTCCACGCCCCAGTGCAAGAAACTCCTTATTTGAAAGATAAATCGGGTTGTCTGACATAAAATGGCAAAGAACTGGCAATTCAAAGTCCATTTTTTGTTTAAAGCTCAAGGACAAGCAGCTATTCCGAGTTTTCTTTTTATCCTCTGCTACGGAGTGAAAATTAATCACCTTGTCAGTGGAAGGAGGAAGGAACTAATCTGAGAGCAAACAAGACTTGATTGCATAAGAACCTGAAATAAAGCGGAAAAAATATTTTCTGGTTTCTTGGTTACATGGAAACTCTCTGTAAATGCTATACAGGGAGTCCTTGACGTATGACCGCGACCGAGCCCAACATTTCTGTTGCTAAATGAGACATTGGTGAAGTGAATTTTCCCCCATTGAATCTTCCCACAGTTGTTAAGTGAATCTGGCTTCCCCATTGACTTTGCTCCTCAAAAGGTCGCAAAAGGGGATCACGTGACACTGCGACCGTCATAAATACGAGTCAGTTGCCAAGTGTCAGAAATTCTGATCACGTGACCCTGGAGAGGTTGTAATGGTCTTAAGTGTGAAAAAATGGTCACAAGTCTCCTTTTTCAGAGCTGTTGTAACTTGGGACGGTCACTAAACGAACGGTTGTAAGTCGAAGACTGCATGTAAATATGGGCTGCTTGCCGAGTGCCCGAAATGCATTCACAAGACCATGGGACTCCAATGAATTGTCTCCTTTTCTGATGTTTTTCAAACTCGACTTCACCAAGATTCTTCCTTCTTTTCAGATGTTTGGCTGTGGTTCGGTGGCTCAGCTGGTACTCAGCAGAGGGACTCACGCCCGCTTCCTGACGGTCAACCTGGCGTTTGGGTTTGCTGTGACGCTTGGAATTCTGATTGCTGGACAAATCTCAGGTAGGGGGACTTTATTTATCTGAAAGACATATATGGCCACCCATCTTATGCACCATAAATCTGGCAGCTCACATTGGCAGCAATACAGTTTCCTTTCCTTTCCTTTTTCCTCCTTCCTTTTTTCCTTTCCTTTCCTTTCCTTAATTCCTTTCCTTTCCTTCCTTTCCCTTTTCCCTCCTTCCTTTCCTTTCCTTTCATTTCCTTTCCTTTCCTTCCCTTTCCTTTCCTTCCCTTCCCTTTCCTTTCCTTTTTCCTCCTTCCTTTTTTCCTTTCCTTTCCTTTCCTTTCCTTAATTCCTTTCCTTTCCTTCCTTTCCCTTATCCCTCTTTCCTTTCCTTTCCTTTCCTTTCCTTCCCTTTCCTTTTTCCTCCTTCCTTTCCTTTCCTTTCCTTTTCTTTCCTTTCCTTTCCTTTCCTTCCCTTCCCTTTCCTTTCCTTTCCTTTTTCCTCCTTCCTTTCCTTTCCTTTCCTTTCCTTTCCTTTCCTTTCCTTTCCTTTCCTTTCCTTTCCTTAATTCCTTTCCTTCCTTTCCCTTTTCCCTCTTTTCTTTTCTTTCCTTTCCTTTCCTTTCCTTTCCAAAGTTCCATTGCAACTTTGGTGTGATTGTGTCGTCATGCAAGCTTTCCCAGGTGTCCCCCCCCCCAGAATGTCCTCCCTGCAGATAATTAACACGATGCAGAGCCCTGGAAAATTCCTTGGAGATTCCTGGGCAGAACGAGTTCTTAATGAGACAGCCGCAGCCATAATTACAACAAAATTAATCAAGAGACAGGACAAACATAGGGAGGGGCCACACCTCTGCAACTAATGATTTTGCTTAAGCAAATTCTTGTCAAGTTGCCTAAAGGAGTCGTAAATACTTGCCAGGTGCCAAGCCCAAATTTTGATCGGGTGACCACGGGAACAGTGCAACAGTCGTATGTTGGAAAAAAAGGGCCATGAGTTTTTTTTAGTGCCATTGTATGCTTACTAAATGAATGGTTACTAAATGAATGGTTGCAAGTTGAGGACTCCATTCATTCGTTCGTTCATTCATTCATTCATGAAAAGTTATATGGCCACCCAACTCACTCTTAGTGACTCAATCAGAATAGAGCTGGAAGGGACCTTGGAGGTCTTCTAGTCCAACCCCCTGCTCAAGCAGGAGACCCCACACTATTTCAGACAGATGGTTGTCCATTCACTTCTTTAAAACCTCCAGGGATGGAGCACCCACAATTTCTGAAGGCGAGCAGTACCACTGATTAATTGTCCTCACCGTTAATTGTCCTCAGGGTCGCCTGAGTGGTGCAAATGGGTGTGGAACCTTCTTGGACCTGCTGAAAGGGTTGGAACACCCATTTGCACCACTCAGGTGACCCTGAGGACACAGATGAACCTCCAAGTGACCTCAACGACTCTCTGAACAAAGGCAAATGATTGGCTGTCTGCAAAGAATATAAATCCTTCCATTTCCCCACCATCCGGTCAGAGCTGAAGAAGTTTCTTGGATAAGAAGCCAAATGTCTTCAAAGAAAAACAAGAAAGTCCAGTTGACTCTTGAAAGAAGCACCTTTGGGTCAACCATGACCTGGATGACAGAAAATCTCCATAGACAACAGATTGCCAAGCATCCCAGTTTGGATCATGTGACCCTGGAGGATGCTGCAATGGTTGTAAATGTGAAAAACGGTCATACGTCACCTTTTTCAAAGGTTGTAACTTTGAACGGTCACTAAACAAATGATTGGAAGTTGAGGGCTACTCATACTTTACTTCACTTTACTTTGGACATTTGTCTAACCATGGGATATTTTTTATACAGGTGGTCACTTGAATCCTGCGGTCACCTTTGCGATGTGCTTCATGGCCCGGGAACCTTGGATCAAGCTTCCGATTTACACCCTCGCCCAGACCCTTGGTGCTTTTCTCGGAGCGGGCATCGTATTCGGCTTGTACTTTGGTGAGTCCATTCAAAGATTCTTTCTTCCTGGGTTCATGGGCTGGCCTTCTCCTTCAGCTTCCGTCTTCATCAAGGTGGCCTCCATTGCCTTTACTCCAGGATCCCCAAGATGCTTTTTCAGGAGGCAACTGGATTTCCTGGTTTGTCCTTGAAGACATTTTGCTTCTCATCCAAGAAGCTTCTTCAGCTAAGAAGAAGAAGAAGAAGAAGAAGAAGAGAAAGAAAAAGAGAAAGAGGAAGAAGAAGAAGAAGAGGAAGAGGAAGAAGAAGAAGAAGAGAAAGAGAAAGAGAAAGAAAAAGAGGAAGAGGAAGAAGAGAAGAAGAAGAAGAAGAAGAAGAAGAAGAAGAAGAAGAAGAAGAAGAAGAAGAAGAAGAAGAAGAAGAAGAAGAAGAAGAAGAAGAAGAAAAACGACTTCAAAGAAAAACAAGAAAGTCCAGTTGCCTCATGAAAAAGCATCTTTGGGACAACCATGACCTAGATGACTGAGACTCTCCACAGACACTGTCCTCCAAAAGGGAAATAAAGGCACACCTGGTATGAGAGAAAAGACTTTGCAGTGCATGGTCAACAACTTTGAATGTTTTGGGAGGTCCATGCTGCCATTGTAACTGAGCTATGGGAATTAGCGCAGGTAGTCTTGGACTTACGACCACAATTGAGTCCAAAATTTCCGTGGTTAAGCAAGACAGTTGTTAAGTGAATTTTGCCCCCTTTTAACAGCTTTTCTTGCCACAGCTGTTGAAATGCCTGCGGTTGTGACATTAGTAACACGGTTGTTAAGCGAATCCAGGTTCCCCTGTGACTTGGCTGGTCAGAAGGTCACAGAAGGGGATCACCTGACCCTGGGACACTGCAACTGTCACAAGTACATGCCAGTTGCCGAGCCTCTGGATTTTGATCACGTGACCACAGGGATGCTGCCACGGTCGTAAGTGTGAAAATGGTCCTAAGTCACTTTACTTAGTGCCATTGTAACTTCAAACGGTCACTAAACGAACGAATTGCAGCATCCCCGTGCTCAAGTGATCCAAATTTGGGCGCTTGGCAACTAACATGTATTTATGATGACGGTTGCACTGTCCTGTGATCATGTGATTCCTTTTTGCGACCATCTCATATTTATGACGGTTGCACTGTCCTTCAGGGTCATGAGATCCTCTTTTGCAACCTTCTGACAAGCAAGGTCAATGGGGAAGAAGCCCGTTTCACTTCCCAACTGTGTGACTAATTTAACAACTGCAGTATTTCACTTAGCAACGGTGGCAGGAAAGGTCATAAAAACGGGGCAAAACTCAGTTAACAAGGGTTTCACTTAACGACGTAAACTTTGGCCTCAGTTGTGGCCGTAAGTCAAGGGCTACCTCCCCATCTCTGCAGAAAGACGGCGGAGCAATGTTATCCAATGGATGATGCATTAGCTTGGAACGTGCTCCACCAGGGCTTGAAAATTATAATATAAATGTGCTGAAGGCTTGAGGTGTTTTTGTGCTGGCCATGGAAAAAAGCTGATGAAAGGACGCTCCTTAAGCCCTCAGTAATTTCACAGATTTTGTGATCAGCCCATGATCCCGTAATGAGAGAGTTACCTAATACAACTCTGAAGAGATTGCAACAATGATCAAGGTCTCGAAAAAGAGTACCCATCCACAAAAGTGTCTCCAGGGGCTTATTAGATCACAATATATCAGTTGGCAAGTCACAATACAGTGCCGGAGTTTAGGCAATGGGTCTCTTAAGCGTGAATTGGATCACGTCTCCATCTTTTGACAAGGCAAAGCTGGTTTGCTTCCAGGTTCCTGAAGACTATCCAGATATTTCATGTCGTCCTCTGAAGACAGGGAGGCCTATCTTAATGTGATACACCTCCCCATTAAAATGGAGAGCTAGCCTCCTAGAATAAGGTTGAGTCGATCCCCCTGGTTTCAGTCCCTTTCTCCTACTTGTGGGATTGACTGGGAATGAGCATCAGGCCCAGATTAGCTGAAAAAAATTCAGATAAACCAATAAATAAACAGAGAGCGAAATCCACTTCCTACCAGCACTGATGGTGTTATGTAGTTGGGTCGTGAAATGTCTGCAAGAAAATAACCAGGATTAGAGATCACCAAGGACCCCACAGTCCTCCTCCTCCTCCTCCTCCTCCTCCTCCTCCTCCTCCTCCTCCTCCTCCTCCTCCTCCTCCTCCTCCTTCTCCTCCTTCTCCTCCCTTCTAACACTGATGAAGTTACTTAGTCAGGTTATGAAATGTCTGTAACTAAACAAGTAAGTTCAGAGAGCACCAAGGACACCACAGTCCTCCTCCTCCTCCTCCTCCTCCTCCTCCTCCTCCTCCTCCTCCCTGCCAACCTTACTCCCTTCCAACCCTACTCCCTTATAGCACTTGTTCTGATCATGAATCAAAATGCCATTATGATCCAATCACAGGCAGATAAACTCAAATAAAGATGATTTCAAAACAGATAATTTATTCAGTCAGAAAATAATACTTGCTATTGGTAGATTCCATCTGGACAAAGTAATCTGTTCATCTTCATTAGATAAATTCAACTTCTCCATACCAACTTCTCACGTGGAGCGGAGCCATCTGACATCCTACAGCCCCATGCTTATCTCAGACAAAGGCATTCCAAACTGGCGCATGGCCAGGAAATCCTGTAATAAACTTTAGTGGCTCCTCCCACAGATCTGATAACATGGGATTGCAGACTAGCTAAACTACATTATCCACAAGCCATCTCTTAAGGAGACAGCACTTAACCCAATAAATGCCAAACACGATCCAGAAACAGAACTGAAGATGTTACCTAGTCAGGTTATGAAACATCTACAAGGAAACAACGAAGTTCAGAGACACCAAGGATGTCACAGAGTTCCTTCTCCTCCTCCTCTTCCCCCTCCTCCCCCCTGCCAATCCCACTTCCTTATCACACAGATGATGTTACCTAGTTAGGTTATGAAACATCTGCAAGAAAACCACCAAGCTCTGCGAGTACCCAGGACCCCACCATTAAACCCTGAGCTACCAAGATTCTCTTCTATTGAAACAAGAGCATTTCCTGCAAAGTTCCTGTCAGCATAGACCAGAAGAAAGAAATGTTGAATTTGTGGTCCATCTAAGCCAGTGGTTCTCAACCTTTTTAATGCCGCGACCCCCAACCGGTCGTAAGTCGAGGACTACTCAACCGGTCGTAAGTCGAGGACTACTCAACTGGTGCAGCACCGTTTGCAGAAAGGGACTTTTGGCGGGCTCAGCAGGGCAGAGACAGCCTGGACAATTCCTATTGGCTTTTGAAAGCTAACAGAATTAGACTCTATTCAAGAGAGTCTATTCTATTGGCTTTCAAAAGCCAATAGAATAAGAGGGAGTAGCACAGCTAAAGAAAAGGGGGAAAAAATGGCGGACAGCCTTGTTTGGCGACCCCCGTGAAATGGTTGTTCGACCCCAAATGGGGTCCCGACCCACAGGTTGAGAACCACTGATCTAAGCTGTTTGTGTCAGGTCTCGCGGCACTATCAGCTTTATTGATCCTGGTGGACATCAAAAGACACCTTTGTTCAACAGAGAAAGGCTTAAAACTCCTCATGATGCTGGAAACAGTAAAAAGCTGAATTATCTTCAGGGGTGTTGCCGTGCCCAAGGGCATCTGATAGGGGGGTCAAGCAAGGTCAAGATGGGGACTACAACTGCACGATCAAAGATCTGACCGTTTTTTAAAAACCTGCGTTGTACATGTGATACCTGTGAAAAGGAGGCATGGCTTTGATGGAGCTTCTTTTTTGGGGGGTGATTGGGAAGGAATTCTGGGTGGTTTCCTTCAGTTCTCTGTTTTGATCCCTTTTTCTAGATGCCATCTGGGCATTCGGTGAAAACCAACTCTTTGTAGTGGGTCCCAATGGGACGGCTGGCATCTTTGCCACCTATCCATCAGAGCACTTGAATTCCGTCAATGGATTTTTTGACCAGGTAAGTCATAAATGTCCAGACTCAACACGATCATATTTGGGGTATATTAAGCAAAGCCTAGTTTATGAGAAGAAAAACTAGGGATGATATGATAGCGGTGTTCCAATATTTGGGGGGCTGCCATAAAGAGCAGAACAGAACAGAATATGGAATGGGAATAGAATAGAATACAAAATATGGAATAGAATAGAATAGAATAGAATAGAATAGAATAGAATAGAATAGAATAGAATAGAATAGAGTTGGAAGGGGCCTTGGAGGTCTTCTAGTCCAGCCCCCTGCTTGAGCAGGAGAACCTATACCATTTCAGACAAATGACTCTCTAGTCTCTTCTTAAAAATTGCCAGTGATGGAGCACCCACGATTTCTGGAGGCAAGCTGCTCCACTGGTTAATTATCCTCACTGTTAGGAAGTTTCTCCTTAAATCCAGGTTGCTTCTCTCTTTGGTCAGTTTCCAACCGTTGTCTCTTGTCTTGCCTTCTGGTGAAGAAGAAGAAGAGGAGAGTCAACCTCTTCTCCAAAACTCCTGAAGGCAGGACAAGAAGCAACGGATGGAAACTAATCAAGGACTGAAGCAACCTAGAATTAAGAAGAAATTTTGTAACAGTGAGAACAATTAATCAGTGGAATGGCTTTCCTTCAGAAGTTCTGGGTGCTCCAACACTGGAGGTTTTTCAGATTGGACGTCCTTTGTCTGAAATGGTATACGGTTTCCTGCCTGAGCAGGGGGGTGGACTAGAAGACTCCAAGATCCCTTCCACCTCTGTTATTCTGTTAAGCCTCAGTCTCTTGAGATGACCGTAATGTTGAGACAGGTAGAAGAGAAGAAGACCACAAACAGCACCATGGTGGATGGATGGTGACAGAGGGGACACCTGAAGGGCAGGTTGGGGACAGATCATTCTGGAGAAGGTCTAACTGTGTGTTATAAGGTCTCCTGCCTTGGGCAGTAGGTTGGACTAGAAGACCTCCAGGGCCCCTTCCCTTTTGGGTCATTGTCAAGACACTCTCAAGATTTATCGAAGCGACTTCCTATTTCTTTGAGGAACCTATGTTTTGATCTCCTTCTTTCTACCCCTCTTCCTCCTTAGTTCATTGGCACTGCAGCATTGATAGTGTGCGTGCTGGCCATTGTGGATCCTTACAACAACCCTGTGCCAAGAGGTTTGGAAGCCTTCACAGTTGGCTTCGTCATCTTGGTTATTGGGACGTCCATGGGCTTCAATTCTGGTTACGCCGTCAACCCAGCTCGAGACTTTGGGCCCCGCCTCTTCACCGCCATTGCTGGCTGGGGCACTGAAGTTTTCACGTAAGTGGCTTTCGTGTCTGGTCTGTGATTGAACTTTGAGCAGGGGGCTGGATTAGAAGACCTACAAGATCCCTTTCAACTCTTCTTCTGTTTTTCACTAAAACCTATGAAAAACGGTTGCAGGATTTGGGTTTGGCTAATGCAGGGGTAGGCAACCGTGGCCCTTTTATGACTCGTGGACTTCCAGAATTCCTAAGCCAGCATGGCTCAGCTTGGAAACCTCTCCCTTTCCCCTCAGCGTGGCTGGCTCAGGAATTCTGGGAGTTGAAGTCCACGAGTCATCAAAGAGCCAAGGTTCCCCATCCCTGGGTATACCTAGATCAGGGGTCTTCAAACTTGGCCCTTTTATGACTCGTGGACTTCAACTCCCAGCATTCCTGAGCCAGTATGGCTCAGCTTGGAAACCACTCCCTTTCCCCTCAGCGTGGCTGGCTCAGGAATGCTGGGAGTTGAAGTCCACGAGGCATAAAAGAGCCAAGGTTGCCTACCCCTGCCCTATACCATTTCAGACAAATCTATTCCTGTCAGGCTTAATAGACTAGGCCAGGGGTAGGCAACCTTGGCTCTTTTATGACTCGTGGATTTAAACTCCCAGAATTCCTGAGCCAGCATGGCTCAGCTTGGAAACCTCTCCCTTTCCCCTCAGCGTGGCTGGCTCAGGAATTCTGGGAGTTGAAGTCCACGAGTCATAAAAGAGCCAAGGTTCCCCATCCCTGGGTATACCTACATCAGGTGTCTTCAAACTTGGCCCTTTTATGACTCGTGGACTTCAACTCCCAGCATTCCTGAGCCAGTATGGCTCAGCTTGGAAACCTCTCCCTTTCCCCTCAGCGTGGCTGGCTCAGGAATGCTGGGAGTTGAAGTCCACGAGGCATAAAAGAGCCAAGGTTGCCGACCCCTGGAATGAATAGAAGGACTAGGAATGACCTGATAGCAGTGTTCCAGTATTTGAGGGGCTGCCACAAAGAAGAGGGGGGGGGGTCAACTTATTTTCCAAAGCACCAGATGGCAGGACAAGAAACAATGGATGGAAACTAATCAAGGAGAGAAGCAACCTGGAATTAGAGAGAAGCTTCCTAAGAACAATTAACCAGTGGAACTCCTGGCCTCCAGAAGTTGTGGGTGCTACATCACTGGAGGTTTTAAAGAATTGCTTGGACAACCATTTGTCTGAAATGGTACTATAGGGTCTCCTGCCTGAGCAAGGGGTTGGACTAGAAGACCTCTAAGGACCCTTCCAGCTCTATTATTCTATGTTCTATGACTGTGCAAACAATTATAATCTTGGAAAAATCTAAGCAGCGTTGAATCCAATTAATACTGGAATGGGAGGCCAAAATATTTCCAACACTTCCAACACTGGACGTTTTTAAGAAGAGATTGGACAAGCATTTGTCTGAAAGGGTATAGGGTGTCCTGCTTGAGCAGGGAGTTAGACTAGAAGACCTCCAAAGTCCCTTCCAGTTCTAGTCTGATTGGTTGATATTGCTTGAATTGATGTTCGGTGCCAAGGGACATTTGTAGAAAGTACAGTCGGTGAGACGGGGTGTGGAACTGGGGTGTGGAGTTGAGGAACAAGTCCATTGTTGACGATGGCCCAATGAATCTACGTAGATGCTACAGTTTTGCTGGATCCTGGGCGAAAGGTTGATAGGCAAGGATCCTAAAATTCAGTTTTACTTGTCCTATTCAGTAAAAAGAGGAGATAGTTCAAAGCCAAGGGAGGGGGGGTGGGAAGAGAAAGATGACCCCCCTATGCTCTTGAAAAGCATGAATAGAAATAAGTCACTGAGGGTGAAGGGAAAAGAGGAGACATACCCAGCTGTGAATTCCTTGCTGCTCTCTGACCTTGGTGGTTTTCTTGCAGGCCTTTCATGACCCAACTAGGTAAACATCTTCAATGCTACTGATAATAGTACTACTGATACTGGTAGCACTGATTATGTGACCTCCTTGGGTCATGAAAGGTCTGCAAGAAAACAACCAAGCTCGGAGAGCAACAAGGACCCCATAGTCCTCCTCCTCCTCCTCTCCACAAACCCCACTCGCTTTGAGCACTGATGATGTTACCTAGTTGGGTTATGAAATGTCTTCAAGAAAACCACCAATCTCAGAGAGCACCAAGAATCTTACAGCCCTCCTCCTCCTCCTCCTCCTCCTCTTCCTCCTCCTCCTCCTCTCCACAAACCCCACTCCCTCTCTAGTTGGGTTATGAAATGTCTGCAAATGAACATCCAAGCTCAGAGAGTGCCCAGGACTCCACAGTCCCTCCTCCTCCTCCTCCTCCTCCTCCTCCTCCTCCTCCTCCTCCTCCTCCTCCTCCTCCTCCTCCTCCTCCTTTCTACAAACCCCACTCCTTTCTAACACTGATGATGCTACCTAGTTGGGTAATGAAATGTCTGTAAATGAACATCCAAGCTCAGAGAGCGCCCAGGACTCCACAGTGCCGCCTCCTCCTCCTCCTCCTCCTCCTTTCCACAAACCTCACTCCCTTCTAGCATTGATGATGTTACCTAGCTGGGTCATGAAACGTCTGCAAAGGAACATCCAAGCTCAGCGAGCACCCAGGACCTTACAGTTCAGCCCTGAACTCCCAATATTCTCTCCTATTGACCTAGCCAACTGCATTTCATCTCACCACTTCTCCTGCTTGTATCTTACAGCACTTCTGGACACTGGTGGTGGATTCCTATCGTTGCCCCCTTCCTTGGTGCCATCGCGGGTGTTATGGTCTACCAGCTGATGATCGGTTGCCATGATGAACCACCTCCCGAAGCCAACGACGAGGAGAGTGTCAAGCTGTCCAATGTGAAGCAGAGGGACAATGTCTGAAGCTGCTGAGCAATGCACTTGATCCCTGGACAATTTTTTTTTTAAAAAAAGATAAAAATTTAAAAAACTGAAAAGCACCAAAGAAGAAAGCAAAACATCCTCATAACAGGATTTTGAAGTCTTCTCCACACTTACTTGTTTGTCTACCTTTGATGTTTTTTTGTTAAGGCAGCTTTCTCCCATCAGGTTGCCTCCAGATCAGTGGTTCTCAACCTTTCTAATGCCGTGACCCCATAATACAGTTCCCCATGTTGTGGTGACCCCCAACCACTTATACATCACTGGGTGCCAGGGGCGTGGCCAAAGAAAAGGGGAAAAAAATGGCGGACAGCCTTGTTTGGTGACCCCCGTGAAATGGTCGTTCGACCCCAAGTGGGGTCCCGACCCACAGGTTGAGAACCACTGCTCCAGATGCTTTTGGAACTAGAATTCCCAGGTTCCTCGTTCAACCTGCCTGGCTGGGGATGATGGGAATTGGAGGCCCACCAAATCTGGAGGTCACCGGATGGAGGGAACTACATGGGAGTATGCACGTCTACCCTTGATCTTTTTGTCAAGGCAGCTTTCCCCCATCGAGTTCTTTCCAGATGTTTCTGGAACTAGAATTCCCAGGTTCCTTTTTGATCATGTTGGCTGGGGAGAATGGGAATTGCAGCCCCGGCAGGCCTGGAGGTTACCAGGTGAAGGGAGTTGCCTGTGAACATACAGGTTGATGTTTCTATTAAGGTAGCTTTCTCCCATCAAGTTCCTTCCAGATGTTTGGGAACTAGAATTCCCAGGCTCCTCTTTGACCCTATTGGCTCGGAAGAATGAGAATTGCAGTCCCAGCAGATCTGGAGGTCACCAGATGGGGGAAACTGCCTGTGAATATGCATATCTCTTATCTTGTTGGGGGATTATGATCTAACTTAGCTTGCTCTGTGGGACCACCTGTCCAATAGTTCTGCTTCCAGGTGGGATATTTTGGCTGCCTGGGGCTCCCCTTTCACTAAGTCCTAACAGGTTGCTGCTTTTCTGTTGCTTCTTGTTTTGGCGTGAGATGTGTTTGGAGGGCATGGATTCATCTTTGTAAATAAATTTGAGAAAAGGATGGGGAAAAGCTATTACAGCTGCTTGCAATTCATTCATTTATAGGGCTGGATTTTCTGCAAAACATTTAGGGTGAATGAGTCAATGATACAGGATACAGAATAAGAGAGTTGGAAGGGACCTTGGAGGTCTTCTAGTCCAACCCCCTGCTCAAACAGGAGACCCTATATACCATTCCAGAAAAATGGTTATTCAATATTTTGTTGAAAATCTCCAGTGCTGGAGTACCCACAACTTCTGGAGGCAAACCAGGCTGAAGACCTAAATTTGGCCAACTTTTTTCTCTTTGTGAGTTACAAAAAAAAAAGGAATTTCTGACAATATGAATTGAATTCAAGAGTATGGATAGACAGGGAAAAATCCAGTCAAGAGGAAAATGCAGTTGTTTTACTGTTGTTGACCTTAAGCCAAACATTGTAGAAAAAGTGTTTGGAGGGTCTCACGTTGCCTTTCTAATCTAGGCCAACTAGAAATTTGTCTAGATGATTCTAGGCAAATAATTTTTGTCCCAAGTGTTTAAGTCTTTTGCTTACTGAAAAACCACTTCGTACATTTAATTCTGGCTTTAACTTGCTTTTTTCTTCATTGTCTTAAACACCCATCTATAAAAAGATCTTCAGATGGTTACTACTGCCACGTGTCATTCACACCTAGGGATATGCGTGGCAGGACTGAGTGTTGAATTTTGGCCCAGGTCTTTTACACAGGGCTATTTTTAATGCCTTGTGGGTAGTACAGCAGAACTGGGAAGAAAAGCAAGCGTAGATTAGTAATATCAGGCAATACTTCCAGTTTAGTCTAGTAGTGGTTAAGGCATCAGCCTAGAAACCAGGAGGTGGTGAGTTCTAGTCTGGCCTTAGACGTGAAATTTGAACGGGTGACTTTGGGCCAACCACCAGGAGATGGTGAGTTCTAGTACTGCCTTAGCCACGAAAGCCACCTGGGTGACTTTGGGCCAATCACCAGGAGACGGTGAGTTCTAGTTTCCACTTTAAGCACAAAAGCTGGTTGAGTGACTTTGGGCCAGTCATTCTGTTTCAGACCAACCCACCGCACCGGGTTGCTGTGTACGAGGAGGAAGAGGTATTAGATATGTTCCCTATCTTGAGTTATTTGTAAAAATAGTAAAGGCGGAATACAAATAAAATCAATAGAAATTCATCTTTAAAAATGAAACTATGTAAGATACATACATACACACACACACACACACAGAGAGAGAGAAACCTTTCTATTGCCCATGTGATGCAAGCTTCCTTAAACTATGGGTCTCCTGAACAATCTGTAAAGTTTTTACCATTTGTACTGTATTTCCAGGTATTTTTTTTTAAAAAATGAAATTAATACATGTCTTGTATAATTGCTGTGATTGTTTTGCAGTATTTGTCAACTGGACGGTAATAAATAGATTGGCATTGCAAATGCCACTGTTTGATACGAATTAATTACACTGAATCCTTTGTTGTTTCTATTTTTGCGCAGTCCTTGGTGCTCTCGTGACCCAACTAGGTAACATCATCAGTGCTAGAAGGGAGGGTTGTGGGGAAGAAGGAGGAGGAGGAGGAGGAGGAGGAGGAGGAGGAGGAGGAGGAGGAGGAAGAGGAGGAAGAAGAGGAGGAGGAGGACTGTGGGGTTCTTAGTGTTTTTTTTCCTGCAGACATTTCATTACCCCACTAGGTAACTTTATTAGTCCACTAACCTAGTTATCGAGTTTGATAATGAAATACCTGCAGGAAAACCACCAAGCTCAGTGAGCAACCAAGACCCCACTTATTAAGTACAACTTTGCAACTCAACAGGTGGATAACTGGGTTTGCTTTTCCCTGCTTCTGACCCAACACTGGCTATGTTTCCACAATATACTTGACCTGCTAGGGGAATTAACCTTTCTTCTGGATGGAAACAAAACACACCCACAAATAGAAACTAGCAACCAGAAGACACGATGAAATCTCTTTAATTTCACAATACATGGACAGGCATAAGTTAACCCTAGCTTCAACTGGGAAACTATGAGCATCCTAGACCTAGCCAAGTCCAAACATGCCAGGGAATTCCTGGAAGCCTGGCACTCTGACAAATCGGCTATTGACAAGCAAATTGAGATCCGCCACCTCTTCACTGGCATTCCAAAGAGTCAATCAAAAAAGCGGAAAGACCAAAACTCTTCCTCACCAGCAAACAACACCGAGATAAGCACAGATTAATGGCAAGTTTAATTCTAGACCAACAATCAAGAAGTAAATAACACTCCAATCAAGGAACTACCAAGACCACTCTCACCAACACTGACAGGGCAAGCCATATGTATCTAAACAGAAGTAAAGCCCACTCCTTACTAGCATTTCCTAGTTTTGTCATGAAACTTCTGCAAGAAAACAACCAAGCCTGGACAAAACTAAGGATCACACAGTCCTCCCCCCCTCCTTCTCCTCCTCTTTCTCCCCTCCTCAAACCCTCCTCCCTTCTAGCATTGAGCATGTTACTTAATTGGGTCAGAAAACATCTGCAAGAAAATGACCAAGCATGGAGAGCACTGAGGATCTCACAGTCTTCCTCTTTCTCTTTGCAAACCCCACTCCCTTCTAGCATTGATGATGTTCCCTAGTTGGGTCATGAAATGTCTGCAAGAAAACCACCAAGCTCAGACAACTACTACTACTGCTACTGCTACTTCTTCTTCTTCTTCTTCTTCTCCTCCTCCTCCTCCTCCTCCTCCTCCTCCTCCTCCTCCTCCTCCTCCTCCTCCGCCTCCTCCTCCTCTTCTTCTTCTTCTTCTTCTTCTTCTTCTTCTTCTTCTTCTTCTTCTTCTTCTTCTTCTTCTTCTTCTTCTTCTTCTTCTTCTTCCTCTTCCTCCTCCTCCTCCTTCTTCTCCTCCTCCTCCTCCTCCTCCTCCTCATTCCCCTTTCCTCCTGCCCTCCTCCTCCTTTCTGTAAACCCCACTTCCTTCTAGCACTGAAGATGTTATCTAGTTGGATCATGACACATCTGTAAGAAAACCACCAAGCTCAGAGAGAACCAAGGACTCCACAGTTCAACCCTGAGCTACAAATATTCTCTTCTATTGGTCAAAATGGTTTTCCAACTTGGTATCTTCCAGATGTGGGAGGGCAAAATACTTATATATAAAAACAAAACCCCCTCCCTTCTTGCACTGAAGATGTTACCTAGTTGGGCTATGAAATGTCTGCAAGAAAACCACCAAGCTCAGAGAGCACTAAGGACCTCATAGCTGTCCTTCCCCTCCTCCTCCTCCTCCTCCTCCTCCTCCTCCTCTCTGCAAACCTCACTCCTTTCTACCACTGAAGATGTTATATTTAGTTGGGTCATGAAAAGTCTGCAAGAAGATTCAGAGAGCACTAAGGATCTCACAGTTCCTTTGTTCATACATACTGAGATCAACCTTGCACTTCATTTGTTGATATATTTACATCCCTTTAAACTTGTCACTGCCTTCTCTTTTTCTTATCTACTTTGCTCTGTTTTTCCTTTCATGCCTTCCTTCACACCCTTTACACCCTCTTAAATTCCAAGTTGCCATTTTTAATTTGCGGTGAATCATCACCAAATGAACTCCTTGCTGCTGATCTTCACGCTGCCCATCCCGAATTTAGTCAAAGCTTTCGCATACAGGTAATTCTGGACTGACAGCCCCACATTTCCATTGCTAAGTGAAACAATTCTGCCGTGACTTTTGCCTCCATTTTAGGACAGTTCTTCCCACAGTTTAGTGAATCCCTGCAGTTATTAACTTCGTAACTCTGTCGTTAAGCAAATCTGGCTTTGCTCGCCAGAAGGTCGCAACAGACGATCACGCAAGCCCGGGACACACTGCGACCGTCATAAATATGAGTCAGTCGCCCAACTTCCAAATTTTGATCACTTGACCCTGGGGACGTTGCAATGGTCGTAAGTGTGAAAAACAGCCATAAGTCTCTTTTTTCAGTCAGTTTAGCCACTGGATTTTCATTTCAGTCGCTTCTTTGACATAGTCCAAGAAAATTTTCTACAGATCTTCATTGGTGCAAATAGTGATAATGAGCTGGCAGCTGATTTAGTTCAATGCTTGGTGGGAATGTAGTGATAGCTGTGGAGTCCTTGGTGCTCTCAGAGCCTTGTTGTTTTTTTTCAGACATTTCACAAATAAGTAATATCATCTGCGTTAGAAGAGAGAGAGTTAGAGGGGACAATCCCCACTTCCTTCTAGCACTGTTGATGTTATCTAGCTAGGTCATGAAACATCTGCAAGAAAACAACCAAGCTCAGAGAGCACCAAGAGCTTCATGGTCTTCCTTCTCCTCCTCCTCCTCCTCCTCCTCCTCCTCTTCTCCTCCTCTCCCGAACCCCACTCCCTGCTGGTAATACTACTTAGTTGGGTCCTGAAACATCTGCAAGAAAGCAACCAAGTTCAGAGAGCAGCAAGAACCCCACAGTTCAACCTTGAAATTACAAATGGTTTCTTCCAGCCATAGTGATGTTTCCTTAGCTTAATATCAGAAGATGTCTGGTAGCCGTTTTCCCCTCTAACAGATTTTTTTAAAGGCATAAGTAGAGCTCAGAAGTGACAGAATTCTTCTGATTTCTAAGGACCCAGACGGGTCTAGGACAACTTGACGTGGTCAACTCACCACGGGCAACTTCTTGTGGTCTGCTTGCAGTGGGACACTTGCCACGGGACATCAACATCGAAGAAATGGTGGGATAGAATCATTAAAGCAAGGCTGTCCAAGGAGGGACAGAACGACATGTGAACGACAAAAAATGAAAACAATTTTTTAAATACTTGAATCCTTGAATTGTCCCAGAGTGAGTTGACCTGAGGTGAGTTGGCCCTGGCAAGGGGTCCAGTTCTGACCCCAGAGTAACCCAGTTCTTCCATCTCAGAGGAAAATGCTATTGCGGGAAAACGCTGGAGAACGGAATATGTTGCAGGCAACTCTGAGTTCCTATATAGCAGCGGTTCTCAACCTGTGGGTCGCGACCCCATTTGGGGTCGAACGACCATTTCATGGGAGTCGCCAAACAACGCAGTCCGCCATTTTTCCCCCCTTTTCCTTAGCTGTGCTACTCCCTTTGATTCTATTGGCTTTTGAAAGCCCATAGAATAGACTCTCTTGAATAGAGTCTAATTCTATTGGCTTTCAAAAGCCAATAGGAATTGTCCAGGCTGTCTCTGCCCTGCTGAGCCTGCCAAAAGTCCCATCTGCAAACGGTGCT